CCTACTGACAAATTATACATACAACCAGATCAAAGAATGTAATATATGTCTAGCCAAGGTTTATCTGAGAGCATTTGGTCTTTGTCCAAGCTCTATCTACTTGGCACATGGTAATTAAAAGACTGGTGGAACCAACCTTCTTGGATGCTTAACAGCCATACTATGAGGCCTATACTAATTTGGACAGAGGGACATAAAGGACAGTTTTTGCTCCTTGCCCTCCTAGGTCAACTAAGTTCTAGGGAACTATAAGCATCTCTCAAAATGTCCTGTAACTATGGTGAGTCACCTGTCCTTTTGAGCAAGGAGGCTGTGGAGACCCCACTAGATGGACCTGAACCAGTGTCCAGTGTACAAAGAGGAGGGTCAACACAGAGGAAACATTTCCTCCATGCTTCCAAGCGAAGCCAGCCATGGTCAAGAAGGACCTTTGACTTATTTTCATATAGAAAGGAACTGGTAAAAGAAAGGAGCCAGGGGCTCCTCCCAAGCCCATGTTACCCCTGAGGAGCAGATCCCCAAATGACCTTGAGAGTAAAAATAAATTGGTTTATATGGGCCAACTGTAGGGTCTTAAACATCCAAAAGGAAAGTATAACCAAAGATTAAAGGGGTCAATATAATTTTTTAAGACTCCCTATGTACAGCTAAAGGCTACATAACAAGAAACCCAGACAGGCGATACCTTCTTTTGAGTTGTTGGCCAGGGTGGCCAAAGGGACTCCCAAATAGTAACCCAGCATAGAACAGCAGACCCCAATCTTATCTAAAGGAATACTGACAAATGATTGCTGCTAGATGAGGAACAGCTGATCTTTCTAAAACAAGGATCTCTAGATAGGCTGACTAGATTCAGCAGACGGACAAGCACTGGGGAATGGCTGGGGGTACCATCAACACAGTAGACAGTAACAGCAATGACAGAGTATATAGGCTCCAGTGTGTGGGAGGGGGGAAGCTATGGGAGGGTGCCATTTAAGAAGTAGGTATATAGATGAATAAGATGTTCTGCATGATATACAAAAAAAAAAAAAAATCAACAAATTTAAAAAAAAGACATATTTGAGGAGGAAGCATAAAGATTTACTTCATGTTAAACAGACACTTGGCAGATGGACAGCAGCCACATGGAGGGGAGGGGAGTTTTAGAGAAGGTAAAGAAATCCAAAATGCTGTGGAAGCCCAAAGTGTTAGGGAAAGCATGCTTTAAAAAGAGATATAATCAGATACATACAGATGAGAGACACATGTGCCAACATCTCAGTGTTATTAGCAAAAACAATGAGTCTTTCTGTAAGAAACAATGTCTTAGAGGGTTTATACTGAGTACAATATGGTATAACTGTATTAATTCAACTGTAAACCTAAAAATTTACAGTCACTTTTGAAAGAGATGTATCCTTACTCTGGAATGTGTTACTAAATATGTTAAAGCTGTAATGAAATGCTTCTTCTAATCATGTGGTTATTAAATTTTAAAAAAAAGGGGGCGGTTGTGTATGGTGGTGCACACCTTCAGTACCAGCACTCGGGGCAGAGGCAGGCAGATCTGTGAGTTCAAGGCAGCCTAATCTACATAGTGAGTTCCAGGCCAGCTGGAGCTACAGGGGGACCCCGTCTCAAAAAGACCAATAAAGGGGGGGTGGGCAGTTAAAATGAAAAATATAAGGTATCCTGGAAAGGACAGAGGTACATACCATGAAAAGTTTAACAAATTCTTTGTGATAGTAAGTACACAGGGATCTACAGTACATTCATAAACCTTATTTTATTTCCCTCAACAGCTTTGTTTAAAATTGTCTTCTGGAACTGGAGAGATGGCTCAGCAGTTAAGAGCATTGGCTGCTCTTGCAGAAGACCTCGGTTTGATTCCCAGCACCAACATGACAGCTAACAACAGTTCGTAATTCCAGTTCCAGGGGAATCCAACACCCTCTTCTGACCTCTGTGGGCACTGCATTACACGGGTGCACTTACATACATACAGGCAATATACTCATACATGTAAAATAAAAAGAACTAAAATAAACAAACCCTCCCTCACCTAAAAAACCCAGTCTTCTGTTCAGTGCCACTAAGGTATAGTTGACATAGCCAAATATGAGAACCGGGACAATCACTGTGATTTATGATATGCTGGGCATTGCCCTTATCCCATATAATGGTAATAGTTTTTTATTTATAAATGCTGTCTGTTCTATTGTAGAGAATCTTACTACACATTTAAATTGGCATATACATCTGGCTCATATTGCTCTAAGATTTCTTTTTTTAGGTTTGTTTTTTGTTTTTTTGAGACAGGGTCTCTCACTATCCCCAGCTGGCCTGGAACTTGCTATATAGACCAGACTGACCTCAATCTCACAGTCACAAAGATCTACCTGTTTCTGCCTCCCAAGTGCTGGAATTAAAGGCATTCACTACCACATCCAGCTTTTTATTTCTAGTTTTTGAATCAGTATTACTGTGTAGCCTAGGCTAGCCTTGCGCCTGCAGTAATCCTCCCACCTCAGCCTTCCAAGTGTTGGGATTACAGATGTGAGCCATCATACCCAGCCCAAGACTTTTTCTGAGAGTGACTAGGAGATGGGCCTGGTGGCAAACACCTGTAATCCTAGCACAGGAGACAGAGGAAAGACAACCATCCTAAATTTTTGGCCAGTCTGGTCCATACAGCAAGTTCCAGACCAGCTAGAACTAGGAAGTAAAACCCAACCTAAAAAAAAAGTGACTGACTTCCTAAGGGTACAGCCCAATTTGGAGACAGTCATATGTCAGGATCATGTCTCTCATTGGCCGGTTACCTCATCTGCAGAAATTAATATGTGTTCATCTTATTCCGCTGACTTGTTAAACAACTTAAATGAAATATGTTATTACTCATCTACTTTAAAAAGTGCTATACAGCCAGGCAGGGTGGCACATGCCTTTAATCTCAACATTTGGAAGGCAGAGATCTCAGCTTTGAGTTCAAGGCTAGCCTGTTCTAGAGAGTGAGTTCCAGGCCAGCTGAGGCTATAGGGAGACTGTCTCAAAAATAGCGAGAAAAAAAAAAAAAAGTGCTGTACAGGCTGGGTATACAGCTCAGTATACACCACTTGCTTAGCATGTGCAAGACCCGGGTTAGATTCCTGGGACAGCATGAAAAAAAGCTATATAAATTCCAGATATCATTATTAAAAACAGACCCAAAAGAACTGTTTGGGATTGTTATTATATAAATCAAATTAATAATCTGGTATCTTTGTGACAGTCCTCGTGTAGACTCTAAGTTGCTAGGGTAAAGTTCTTCCCTGCAAAGCCTCTAACAAAGTAACAACATTCTGTAACAAATAAATGTCTGAAGAACAGAGAGGAAGAGAAGGAAATCACCATATATGGAGCTGTAATATGTGTCAGCTATTGGGTTACAGGCTTAACAAGTCACTTACATTACTTCTCACCAAACACTCTATGCTGGAGGTACTAACCATAGTTTACATTTAAAGACACTAAGTTCAGAGGATGGTGGCCCATGGCTGTGACCCTAGCACTTAAGAGGTGAAGGTAGAAAGATCAGGAGCTTAAGGTCATCCTTAGCTACATAGCTAGTTGGAAGCCAACCTAGGCCGTAGGCCTGGCTAAAACAAACAACAAAAACAAGCAGAAAGTAAGAAACTAAGTTCTAAGAAGTTAAGTAACATCTCAGGATACAGTACTAGTTAGTGATAAAACCATTCATTCAGTCAAGACTAAAATCTTCCTTCTGTATTACAATTTCAAGCACTATTCCTACCAATAAAGTGGGTAACATAACCACTGCTTTAAAATCTCAATTTTTCATATTAAAAACAAAAGCAAAGAGAAATGTGAAGAATACAAAATATGACCTAATAACAAGAGAATTCCAAAGAAATAAAGATTCCTGTAGAGATAACAGTTCATAAAAGTGAGTTTTAAGGGGCTGGAGTGATGGTTCAGTGGTTAGGAGCAAGTACCAGTCTCACAGAGGACCTGAGGTCAGTTCCCAGGACCCACAACAGGCAGCTCAAAACCACCTATAACTCTAGCTCCATGTGATCTAACACCTCTGGCCCAAAGGTCACCTACAATCACATGCACATATCCACCCCTCCCCCATAATTACAAATAATAAATCTTTTTAAAAAAAGTTTTAGAAGACTAGGTAAGGTGACTCTTCTTTGAGAAGCCCACATCTATGGCTCATGTGTTTTCTCCTTTCTTAAATCCTAGTGCTTAAGCCTATATTTAAAATATCTTTATTAAACCCCTTCTCTGCTTCATTAAAAAAGATTATGTAAAAAAGGTAAGGAGGGGGGTAGATTACAGAAAGACAACAATGCCAAGACACAAAATATGGATTCAGAAGTTAGGGAACCATATAAGGTGAGATAACTAATGAAAATGACTCTTTAGAAGCTGATGTTGGTCTAATACAGAATTGTTTTGATGAGGACATGTGGAGCACAGTCAATGACTGTAAACTTGACTATAATCGAAGCTTGAACTAGACAGAGAGAGACGGAAAAAATACTTGAGAGGACGGCAGGGTGTGAAGTATAACAGGATGCTAATACTTTGTTTATCTATCAACCACCCTCTACCTTTATCTGTTTCTTATGAGTGAAAGAGATCTGGTTTTTGTTTTTTTTTTTTTTTTTTTTGTCTCTTTGAGAGGGGGTCCCCCCTTAGCCCCCGTTTTCCTGGAACTCACTTTGTAGACCAGGCTGGCCTTGAACTCAGAGATACACCTGCCTCTGCCTCCGGAGTGCTGAGATTAAAGGCGAGCGCCACCACAACGGGCAAGAGAATTGAAGTTTTAAAACTGATCTGTCACAAGGCCCTTTTAGCTTCAAGGCTCAGTGGGTTACGGCACTTGCAGCCAAGCCATGAGGATCTGAGTTGGATGCCAGGGACCCACATGGTTAGAGAGACCTGACTTACACACACACACAAAATGCAGTTTAAAAAATTAGTTTCAGACATAACTTAAAATTTACCTTCATGGCAAAACTAGATGGCATCATGTTCTTCGGCCACTCAAATTCTGTTGTGTGAATACGTATACCAGATTCAAGTAAAAGAGTAGCTTTACAGTCTGGTCTGTTGAAGAAACAGTAAAGTCAAAATTTTCTTTAGGTAATTTTCCAAGGCTTACTCTGTGAAATAAAATGTAGTCTTAAAAAAAAAAAAAAAACCATTCATATTTATTCACCAAAGAAGGGGAAGAAAACAATAAGACAGTCTTACTTTTGAAGCCGAATAAGGTAAGTCTTATTATCCACGTCATAAACATTGTTTACTCTCATTCCTAGCAAGCTGCAACGATAAAAAGAAACATTAACAAATCATACTAGTGTTTGAAGCAAAAACTACTCGTAATACATTCTGCAAGGCTGCAAAAGAGGAAATCTTCAGTGCTAAGAGTATTACGGTTATCAGGTATTTTGCTAATTAACCTTAGCCGTTTAAGCACAGAAGGAATCTGTCCGCCTCAGGAACGCCACGGACCGCCTTGCATCTGAAATGACCCAGTACTCTGCAGGTTGACGCAGTGAAACCTAATAACTTATCATGAGGGGCGTGGGTGGCAGAGTCCCCCGAATATACGACACAGAAAGAAACAGGACAGGCCTCCAGGTCTCGGTCCAGATCTGCTGAAGGGCGAAGCTCCCTCAGGATGAACGCCAGCTGCAGCAAGCCGGCCGCAGGAGGAGGGCCCCTGGGCACCGATCACTCCAGCCAGCGGACTCAGGCAGACCTGGCCAGCCGGCCGCACCAAGACCCCTCGGGACAAGCGCGAACTGGAAGGACTGGACGTGGGCACGCGCCCCGCCCATCCCAAGGGTGGCGGCGGACCTCAGGAGCTCGTCTCCCAGGCCCCGCGGGCGCTGGGGCCGAGGGGACCCCTCCGGGTTCTGGTTGACGCGCTACGGGCGCCAGCCCGTCACCCGCAACCGCACCCGCACCTCGCATTCAGCTCCGCGAGCACCGCGCGGAGGTCAACGGTGCTGAAGCGAGTCTTCATGGCTAGGGTGCACGTCCTATCGCAGCTCTCTCAGGCCGGCCTGACGCCGCGAGTTCTCCGCGCATGCGCGCTAGGCGTTGGTCTACGGCCGCCCAGGAGACCCAATCTTCCTAGAGGCGAAAGTGCGTCATTTAGCGGAAAAGCGGTCGAATCACAACGGACTCATTTTTCATCATACTAAACCAACTCGAAATTCAGCAGCCAGGCTATCTGCTTGGACCGGCGTCCCTTCCTTAAATGCTAGACTATTCCCGCTACTTGTCCCTGGTGTTGGGGACCTACACGGGCTTCCACAGTGACCCGGCTGGTCATAACAGTTTGGAAGCAGTTAGGGGAGACTTTCCCCAGTGGGCGGTTGCGCTCCGGATTGGGGTTTGGGATGAGAGGACTGTTGGACTTTCACGATCCACACGAGCCCGTAGCGAGGATGGGTACATCCTATTTGGATGGGTACTGCTCTCAGAAGGCGCATTCTGCCGCATTATTGTAGGACTCGCAACGGTCTTGGTAGTATACAACTGGAGTTTCAAAAATGCTTGGCACCTTTAATAGTCAAGAATTTTGCTAAATAAAGGTGACGACAGGTTTAAAAAAAAAAAAAAAAAAGGGATTTCCCGTGGGAGAAGGGGAAGTTTCCGAATGTCCTTTGGTTCCCAATGCTATCAATTTATGAATTATTCTGGGTTCAAATAGTGTAAAATTTTTTCTTTCTTTTTTTTTTTTTTTTTTTTGGTCTTTTTGGGGACGTGTCCCCCTTTTGGCCCCACCTGACAGGACTGCACTATGTAACCCGGCTGGTTTTCAACTCACAGAGCCCCCCCTGCCTCTGCCAAGTGCTGGGATTAAAGGCGTGTGCTACCACGCGCCCGGCCACTGTCCTCTGTTGATTACCGGTATACACCACCACATTTAGCAAAGTGCTATTTTTGTCAGTGAAGTGTGAGCCTAAAAGATGTGAGTCAAACTTTCAGATGGATGAGGGTCGTTCAAAGCAAAACACCAAAAGCAGAATAAAAGGTCAGATTAGTTTATCTGAATACATGAAGCTTTTTGTTATTGTTGCTGAGTTTTTTGAGATGGGGTCTCACTATGTATTCTGGCTGGCCTAAACTCACTATAAAACCCATGCTTAGCCCCAGACTTCCTCTGGTCCCAGCCTCCTGAGTTCTAGCATTATAAGCATGCACCACTATATCAGGCTAGTAAAGCTTTAAAACTTGTGAATGTCCTAATCTGTTGTTTCCTGTTGCTATAACAAAATGCCAAGAGCTGGGCAACACACAAAGTTTACTTAGCTCAGTTTTAGAAGCTCAAAGTCTGAGATTGGGTGGCTTCATCTATTCACAGCTAATAAAGGCCTTCAGTCTCCATCACAGCATAGCAGATACTCTCATGATAAAAGCCCATGTGAGAGTCACACATGGTGACACAGGAAACAGCAGGAACTCAAGGCCAGGTGTGTTCTTTTAACAACTTTCATGAGAGTGAAACTGGTTCTCCTGAGCACTGCATTGTTTCTGAGTGCCCTCAATTGTTTCTGAGTACCCTCAATGATCTAACCACGAACTTATTAGGTCCCACTTGATTTTTGTGGGGGTTTTTTGGGGGGTCTTTTTTCTTTTTGAAACAGGGTCTCCCTGTATCCCTGAATGGCCTGGAACTAACTGTGTAGACCAGGCTGGCCTTGAACTCACAGAGATCTGCCTGCCTCTACCTCCCAAGTGCTGGGACTACAGGCATATGCCACCATGCTGGGCTGTAGGTCCCACTCGTGAAAGGTTCCATGGTCTCCACACCACTACACAGGGCACCAAGCTTCTAGCACTCGAAACATATCCAAACCTAGCATTTTTGCAGTGAGTGAGTGCCAATATTTTCCTATCATAAATACAATTGAAATCTTAAAAGTATGGTCAACACACACACCTCTGACATGGGAAAAAGAATTGACATGAAAATGTGACAAACATAGTACAGGGAGGGCATGGTGACCCATACCTTTTAATTCTAGCACTCAGTAGGTAGGCAGATCTCTATGACATCAAGGCCAGCCTTGTCTATATAGCAAATTTCAGGTCAGCCAGAGCTACATAGCAAGACCCTCCCCCAGAAAAAAAGGGAGAGGGGGCTGGCTGGAGAGATGGCTCACAGTTAAGAGCAAATACTATTCTTGCAGAGGACCTGACCTTGAGCTTGAACCTCAGGACCCACCTCAGGTGGCTCACAACTGTCTACAACTCCAGCTCCAGGGGATCAGATGCTCTCTTCTGGCTTTTGAAGGCATTCACACACAGGCATATACATAAAGATTAAAACATCTTTAAGATAATAAATCTTTAAAAATAGAGAATAAAGTACAAAGAAGACAGTTACTGAACTGATTCCTTTGATGTTATTGGGGTTTGGGGGGAACTTGCTCTGTAGGCTGGGCTGGCCTTGATCTCACAGAGATCTGCCTGCCTATCTCCCTAGTGCTGGGATCAAAGGCATGCAACCCCCGTGTCCCACTGAAGCAATTTCTTTTTTATCTCAGTTTTGTCAGGTACCCAAGAAGCTTTACTCCCTATGTAAATGACTCCAGTTGTTACTATAACTACTGAGAGACCCGAGTGACTCCATCTTGGATAAAACCTCCATAGGACTGACCCAGCCCTGGGCCCTGTTCTAAGAAAAACCACAATACTTGGAACGGATAGAGAACAACTCCCCCGCCAATGGTCAATTAACCAGGGACAGGAAAGTACTAAAAGTCCAGATGTCTTTTCAGATTTCCTGAAGCCAGCAGTTTATGGTTAGGCATGGAGCTGCAACCAATCAGATGCTTGCCAGGCTGAACTCTCCTACTTGCTGAACTTGCTGAAATAAACCTATAAAAACCTCTGTCTCCCAAAGCAATAGGTCTCACATCTGAGATCCCCTGAGTCGGTGACAGAGTGGACACAAGCTCAAGCTTGCTACAACAAACGAACCCTTGTGTATTTGCATTGGGTCGGCTCCTTGGTGGGCTTTGGGGTCTCGCAAACTGGGCACAACACTACCTCAAATGTAGAGGACAATACAAATTTATTCTCTTAGCCTTATGGAGGTCAGAAGTGCCAAAGGTCTTCAGCTCAGATTCTCCTAGGGCCCTTTTATAAGGATCCTTGGATTACATTAGGCCCAGTGAAATAACCTCTCCATCTGAAGATCCCAAGTTTAATAAGATCCCAAATTTAATAAAAATCAAGACCTTTTACCCCTAAGATAGCTATATGACCATTTCCAGATGTTAGAATATGGACAGCTTGAGAGGAGGGGGAATTATGCTGTTTGTCACACTTAAAGATGTTCTCCCATAGGTCTCAGAAAACACTCAGAGGGTAAGAGCTCCAGGGCTAAGCAGGCAGCTTGTTACCCAAAGGTAGTCCATAGAGGTACAGCTAAGCCATTATGGACCAAATTCAGGGATCTCTGCAGTTTCCATTTAGTGAAATGTGTTCATCTGTACATGATTTTAAAATTCCTCTTATTCTTTTGAGGTGCCAGGGATGGTTTGGACCTTATGAATTCTAAGCTAGCACACCACAACCAGGGTCTTTAAAAAGTTATTCTGTGTCAATCTGAATGAAGAAAGACACCACAAATGGCTGCAGAAGCATTTTTTTTTTTTTTTTTTTTTAAGTCAAGTCATTATTCAGAGGTTCGAGGGTGGGGAGGGGCAGGCGAGGTTACTGCGATCAGATGCGCTCGGCAGAGCGGATCTCCTGACCCCCTCGTGGCTAAAAAAAGAGGCATGCTTTCCAAAATGCTAGGATACTTACCTGGCAGGGGAGACACTGTGATCAGCAAGACGGTTTTCCCAGGGCGAGACTCATTCATTGCGTTTGGGATTTCCCAAATGCGAGAAACTCCGCTGAACAATTTGTGGTAGTGGAGGACTGGAAAAAATTGCTAGGAGGGTCACGCTCAGGAACAGACATAGGTATCGTTCACCACTAGGTTGCACACATCTCTCCAGATTGCTGAAGAATGCAGCGCTTCGTCAGGAGGTTATTTTTCTCCAACTGTTGAGTGAACGAGCAACCCCTGCTGGTTCCCTGGGTAATAACGGCTTTTCTTGGAGACATTTTGACGATATTCCAGTAGGGGTCAGCTGTGAGGCGGCTACAAGTCCCCCAATACACCAAGCTAACCAGTGGGTTTTAACCCCCAAAGAAACATAAAGCAGGAGAGAAAAAAAGTGGGAACCGGGAGGCAATAGATTTAGAGAAGAAAAAGAGAAAGTTTGGAAACACCTACTCTTGCACGTTTTGGAAAATTCTTCTGAACCTTAAAAATAAGCTCCTTATGAACCTTGAAAAGGGTGTGTGTGTGTGTGTGTGTGTGTGTGTGTGTCAAAAAACAAAACAAAACAAAACAAATCTACATTAGTAAGGAAGGCGTAGGAGAAACAAAAGAGACGGGGTCTCGCTATGTTGCCCAGGCTGGAGTGCAGTGGCTATTCACAGGCGCGATCCCACTACTGATCAGCACGGGAGTTTTGACCTGCTCCGTTTCCGACCTGGGCCGGTTCACCCCTCCTTAGGCAACCTGGTGGTCCCCCGCTCCCGGGAGGTCACCATATTGATGCCGAACTTAGTGCGGACACCCGATCGGCATAGCTCACTACAGCCCAGAACTCCTGGACTCAAGCGATCCTCCTGCCTCAGCCTCCCGAGTAGCTGGGACTACAGGCGTGCGCCACCGCGCCCGGCGCTCGGTAACGCGGCGGGGAGATACTAGAGGTTCTGCTGCCGTGACGTCACCGGAGGCGGGGCGAAACTTGTGGTCATGCGCTTGGGCACGTCCAATGCGGAACGTCACCTGGGCTGTCCCGCCCTCTTCCTCTTGGAAACAACCTGTTTGTATTTTAGCAAAAACTGGTGGGCGTTTGCCTCCGGCCCTCGGGGAAAGGGAGATAACGCGCCCTCGGGTCCCGCGGCGTTGTGGTGTTCAGCAGGCCGCAGTCCCTGCCGCTTCTTTTGGGAGATGCTGCTTACGAGGGAAACGTTTGTAGATATCGTATAGAATACACCTAAGGGCAGAGGTTATGGTCGGTGAAAGTGCTAAGACCAGCTTAGGGCTTTGCTTTTGCAAGGAGGAGGCGGAGGGGAAGGAAAAGCATTTCCGATCATAGTGGATCTGCAGCAGCAACCTCCCCTGAACTTGGTCCCCACTGAGCTTTCCTCTCTGCCCTCTGTCCTTGCAGCAGATAACTTGCTCCCTGGCATTAGAGAAAAAACTTTCCTCTCGCCTCTTAATGTAATCTTGAGAAGTTCCAGGAACAGCAACCGTTGTCTCTTCTTACCTCATAGCATTCCAACATCTTCCCCTTCCTCCCGCCCCAGCCTGGGCTTTCACTTTAAAACACTATTGATCCTTTGCCTCGTTTCAGCGCAAACAGAAAATGGAATCTGAAGGAGGCAGCAGTTTTTTCGACTCCGAGCCAGGCTCAATGTAAACCAAAGAAAATGGCTTCTCTTAAGGAATTAGATGAAAACGAGAATGTGGCAGCTTAGCTGTGCCCAAGGTCTGTTACCTCTTTCATTGTACTAATGCATTTTAGTGTGACACTTTAATCCCAGTGGACCACATTTTACAGTGTCTCAAACCACCAAGTGTGGTCGAGTGAGTTCTCACCAATGGCACTCGAATTTGAAAGGTGCTATGTAGGATCTGAAGAATTTGTTTAAAAATAAACTGCCTGGGCTTGATGGCACAGGTCTTGGATCCCAGCACTCCAGAGGTTAGAGTAATTAGGAGCTGAAAGCTATTCTCAGCTACATGGGGAGTTTGAGGCCAGCCTGGGCTACATGAGATTCTGTCCCAAACAGCAAAAATAATAAAGCCATTCTCCTTCACGTCTGCTCTTTTGCCTTGCTCGAGCGCTAGATGGCGCCAATGTAGATTCACTACTGTGCCTCAATTTGAACCAAGCAAAGTGACAGCTGGGGGAAATCCCGATTGGGGGAAATCCCATCCTGGAGATGGAATAGCATGAAGAAACCTGTGCAGGGCGTGGTAGCACGCACTTTCAATCCCAGCACTTGGGAGGCAGAGGTAGGATTACCTCTGTGAGATCCAAGCCAGACTGGTCAAGTTCCACGCCAGCTGGGGCTGCAGGGAAGCACTTTTTAAGAAACAGCCAGCCAGCCAGCCAACCAGCCAGCCAGCCAGCCAACCAACCAACCAACCAACCAACCAACCAACCAACCAACCAACCAACCAACCAACCAACCAACTCACCCAACAAACACAACACCTAGGTCCAAGGATGAATAGTTTTGAGCCACCCTGTAGGCTCGGGCCATTCCAAGCTCTGGACAATTAGTAACACAGTTCTATCTAATTTAAACCACTATTATGGGGGCCTCTTCATTATCACAGTATGCTCTAAACGATACAGGGAAATCCACAGAAGAAACGCCCAGATAACAAACTTTAAAAGGACAAGAACCAAAAGGAATCCAGGCATCTCTAAGGGACCCCGATGGGACACCATCCTGAACCCATAAGAGTTCAATTTTCTAGTTTCTCCTAAATCTCTATATTCATACCCATTTTAAAAAATGAATCCAGGGGGCTGGAGAGATGGCTGAGTACTGACTGCTCTTGCAGAGGACCTGGGTTCGATTCCCAGCACCCACACGCCGGCTACCAACAGTCCTTAACTCTAGTTCCAGGGGCATCCAAAGCCCTCTTCCAACCTTCGCAGCCCTCTTTTGACCTGACACGGGTGCACTCACATACATGTAGGCAATACACTCATACACATAAAATAAAAATAAAATAGTATTAAAAAAAAAAAAAAAACTGAACCCAGGCCCTATGCAAAAGCAGCCAGCGCTCTTAACGCTGGGCCATCTCTCCAGCCCCATCTCAGCCCCATCATACCTGCTTTATTACAATTATATTGTAAATAATTTATTTTCTGACTTTCTCATTTCTCACTATACTTTTAGTGGCAGTAAATATTTATGTATTATATGGTTGTTTATGTTGTACCATCTGTTACTATAACCACTTTACTATATAAATTTAGCCTATATAATTAGTGATAGATACAATAGCCAGGGCTAAGTGCTAAGTGAATTGTGCATAGCTTCAATTAGTTGTTTGCTTTTAAAAGTGCCTAAATGTTATTTTTCTGAGGTGAGGGAGAAGTCTTGCTGTGTTGCCCAGGCTGGCCTAGAGTTCCTGAGTTTAATCAGTCTAGCCTCCAGTTGAAACTACAGGCGGGTGCCACCTGGGGTAACAGTGCAAAAAACAAGGCTATATCTGGCTATGCGGAGCTTTGCTCTTTGGAAATGTAAACTGCATGACATGGAATTTTTTGGTCCCAAACATTGCTGTAGGTAATGCCCTCATCGCAAATGGAACGTAAACCTATCTATAAAACATACCACAGGACTCAAGTTTGTCCTGTGAGGACACTGAAAGAAGAGCAAGGGGTCAGATGAAGCTTTATGCCGTGGCAAGGGGAAGAGGTTTGTAGCTAAGCAGGGTCTGGGCCTCGAGACGAGGACAGCCACCGAGGCAGGGGCGCGAGACAAGGCGAGGCTGCACCCCGCGTCACAGGCCAGGCCTGCTTTGCCCGGACAGGACACCGGAAGTGACGCAACGCGCCTGCGGGCCGTGCAGTTTATCAGGTGCTCTCGCCCGGCCCCCTCCCGACCCTAGCAAAGGGAGAGTCGGGCCTGAGCCAGGAAGGGGAAGAGGCTAGGGCTCCAAGTAGGGAAAGTGAGCAGCCAGCCTCGGACAAGTCTGGGCGGAAGGAGAGCGGGGCTGGCACCGGAAGAGGGGTGGGTTGAAGGCGTGGTAGCAATGGCAGGCGGGCCGGAGGGCGGGACTGCCAACAGAAGGAAGGGCGGGTCACCGGCGGGGAGCCAGAAGAAGACCGTTTACCCTAGGCGACCTCCTCGGTCTGGTGGGGTGGTGGATCTTGAGCTGCAGCCTCCGGACCAAAACCGTTTCCATACCGTAGACATTTTGCCACAGTAGGAGTTTCATTTAGGACAGATTATTTGCATTTACAGTCAAGTACTTGTGGTTGACCTTGATTTTTTACATTTAATAAAGGAGCTGAGAAGTAATAGAATTACATTTTGACATAACACGTTTTCTTATTTCTTTTGTCTTTTTGAGACAGGGTCTCCCTGTAGCCTCAGCTGGCCTGGAACTCGCTGTGTTGACCAGGCTGACCTCGAAATCACAGAGATCCGTCAGAAGAGGAAGAGCTTTTAATGAGATTAATACTATCTCATCAAAGCAAAAACTAGGGACTGGAGATAGAGCTTAGTTGTAAGAATGCTTGTCTCGTATTCATGAAGCTCTGCCTAGGTTCTATCCCCAGCATCCCATAAACTGAGCATGGTGGAGCTTGCCTTGTATTCCTAACATTGAGGTGGTGAAGGTAAGACAATCAGAAGTTCAAGGACAATCTCGGGTACATAATGCATTCCAGGCCAGTTTTGAGTTACTTGAGACTCCACACAAAAACAAAAATCAGAAACCTTTTAGTAATTTTTTTTAAAATAGAGTCTCAGGAACTCAGTCTAGGCTGGCTGGCCTCCATCTCACAGATATCAACCAGCCTCTGCCTCCCAAGTGCTGGGATTAAAGGCCTGCTTCACCATGCTCAGCAAGAAAACTATAAACTTTTTGTAGCAGGTTAGCTCTTAGAATAAACCCTAACTGCAAACAGTTGTATATATACATACATATATATATATGTATATATATATATAATTATTTATTTTTGTCTTTTTGAGATAAGGTCTCCCTGTAGCCCCAGCTGTCCTGGAATTATGTAGACCAAGCTGGCCTTGAACTCAGAGATCCACTTGCCTCTGCCTCCCAAGTGCTGTGATTAAAGGTGTGCACCACCACACCCGGCTCATATATTTACTTTTAAAATCATTACAATGCTTC